GATACACTGATGCCTAAAAACTTACTTTGCCTCTTTACCCAAATACAGCCCCCAATATTCGGATTTACACCATCATGGTTGGCACCAACACTAAAACATTCGGTTTTTTCCTTATTAATTTTTAGGCCCGATAATTGATAAAAATTTTCGAAAATGCTTAAGGCAGCTTCAAGGGAATTTGCATCTTTGAGTATTAGAGACGTGTCATCGGCATACATAATCAATTTCTGAGTGTGGCCATTTAGATCGATTCCTTTCACATTTTCATCTTGCCTGATCTTAAGGGCAAGTACCTCAATACATATAACAAAAAGGGAGCAACTTAACGGATCTCCTTGACGGACACCCCTATGTACTTTAAACCACCCAGTGGAATGCCCGTTGTTCAATACGCAGCTATTGATATCAGTGTAAAAGAGCTTAACCCAACGGATTAACTCATCGCCAAAATTAAAGTACCGCAACGCAAAATCAATAAAACTCCATTCGATACTGTCATATGCTTTTTCAAAGTCAATTAAAGAAATAATGCCTGGTATTTTCCTTTCTCTAGTATATACTAGTAAATCCTCCATAAATCGAATGTTTTCGCCAATCAGTCTTCCTTTGACAAAGGCAGTCTGATCGGGTTCAATAATCGCGCAGAGAACCGCTTCAATTCTCTTACTTACCACTTTAGAAACAATTTTATAATCTATATTTAACAATGAAATTGGACGCCAGTTTTTAAGCAGAGATAAATCCTTTCCCGATTTTTCAATCAAAGATATTACGCCCTGCCTTTGACTAACAGATAAGAGTCCAACTCTAAGTGAGAGGTTAAAACTGTCAACAACACCTGTCGAAATGTCGTTCCAAAATGCTTTATACCATTCGGCCGAAAGGCCATCACTCCCCGGTGTTTTGTTCGACTTAAACGTTGAGAGAACTTTAAAGCATTCTGCTTCAGTAAGTCTGAGTTCGCACGATGCCTTCTGCGCTTCAGATAGTTTACGCGACTGTAGATTATTAGTAAAAATGTCAAAATCTTTGAAATCGGGCGAGACCTTTTCAGAGTATAAATCTTGATAAAAGAGTTTAATTTCATTCAAAATACGAGTATCATTTTCGATACTTACTCCACCAATCGACAAATTTGTTATGTGTTTTTTCTCGTGGTTTGATTTTTCCAAATTAAAGAAAAAAGACGTACATCTTTCATTTTTTTCATACTGGTCAATTTTTGCTCGGATCAAATGACCTTCCGCCTTATAGATACACATTTTTTCAAGTTTGACTTTTGCTCTTTCATAGGCTTCACATACCGAAGAGATTAAGGTAGAGCCGTCACTTGCAATTAAAGATTCAAGATGTTCGATCTCCTTTAGTAACTCAAGTTCAGCTTTCCGATTTTCACGACATTTTAACTTTGAAAAATGTATTGTCTTTTCCTTAATTTTGAACTTCATGAATTCCCATAATTCGATCTTGCTGAGATCACGGTGCTCGTCACGTAATTTTGTTATGAGGCTTCGGATGCTTAAAGAGTACTCCTCGTCTTGTAGCAAACTATTATTAAATTTCCAAAAACCCGCCCCCCTCATTTCTGTATCCAAACCAATATTAAGTCGTAATAATTTATGATCAGAAAGAATGGCAGGCTCGATAAAGCACTCACAATTCTTTTTGATCCTCCTGTCAACAAAAAACATATCAATCCTACTTTTAAATTTTGAATTTTTAAACTCATCCTTCGCAAAGGACTCATAAGTATATTGTACCGCAGAAGGGTTTAACGTTCTCCAGATATCAAAAAGATTAAAATCATGTATCATTGATCTCACGATACCGGCAGATTCGGATTCTTTATGTTTTGTCATTCCGTAGGAATATCTATCCGTATTAGGGTCGAGAATCATGTTACAATCACCTCCTATAATCAAAAAATCTGAAGCAAAGTTCGTTGAAATATGAGTGTGAAGCTTTCAAAGAAAGTCTTATTTTCGTGACCATCGTTTGGCGCGTAGATATTCACAAAAGTATAAGAGTGAGTACCTATTTTACATTTAATGATAACATACCTACCTGACGAATGTGTATCGATATCCAAAATGTCATATCGCTGATGTTTAGAAAAAAGTATCGCGACTCCACGCTCGCTCCGTTTTTGACCATGCGCAAAATATATATCAGATCCCCATTCCCTTTTCCACATATTTTCATCGGCTATTGACGAATGGGTTTCTTGTAGAAAAACAACATCAAGTCTTTTTCTTTTCAGAAATAAGAAAATACACGCCCTCTTTTTATTTTGTCTCAGTCCCTTCGTATTTAGGGACCCTAAATTTAAGTTACGGATAGGAGCAGAATTCAATTATGCCATTTAAAAGAAGCTGATGTAAGTCATTAGAGGTCTAATATGCAAGTCTCTTAAAATCTCACGAAAAACGAGATTTAGCGAGATTTCAAAAGCTATATGGAAACTATACTATTGGCTGAGTGGGAACAGTATCCAATCAAATACTTTAACCATCAATTTTAAACACCAATCAAACCAGTAGGTTCTAGCAATTTCTGGAAACGACCCATTCAGTAGCTCAACATATGACATACAGGGTGTTTCATAACGAGCATCTCCAAAAAATCAATTTGAGAAGAGATGGGTCTAACATATGTACTATATATGAGCCTATTTTATTCTAGACAAACACATTTGGATCAACTAAACATGCTACAATTCAAGAAAGTACAAATGGCACCCCTTTGACCTGTATTTATTACAGCCCGAGAAGATCTTTCCTGACGAAAAGCTCACATTATGAAACACCGTGTACGTTTACCTATAAGTATAAGTATACGTTATAAGTTGTACTTTCACTAGGTGCGAAATCTCTCTATTATAATCTGACAGACATTATAATTAATTTGAACTTATGATATACCAAATTAAAGATGAGTAAATTCCCTATCCATTGGTATTTAATATGACATGTTTTCATCAAGAAAATCAATATTTATTTTTGAAATACGAGTGTCCCATTTTTTGGACCACCCTGTATATTTCAAATTATATTGTTACAATTCAGAAGATGACCATTAAATTGACGATGTGTAAAATTTTCAGAATTTTTTGATGACTGGTTTAAGAGAAACATGTTTTCAAAAAGGTCACCGTATCGATACCAATCCTTTTGAAAATTTAAGGCCCATTTTTTATAATTTTGTCTTTTGCCTAAAGGGCCAATTTTTTAGGCCCTACGAAATCTTTGGGCCCAAAAATGTTTGGGGCCCTAAACAATTTTCTGGGCCCACAAAAGAGGGGGTGGGGCTGGAACCGCCAGTGGTTTATCTCTAAAATATCTTCAGTCTAATCAAAATTGTATCAAACAATATAAAAAATACTAACCAATACCGTCCAAATAGCACATGTCAATGTCTGTGTTTTTTCAACCTGAAAAATGAGTAACATATTTTTTTGCAATATGTCATGGAATACAATCACAATAGTTGACTTCAAGAGCGGTCTACAATTGTATATTGTTTAACCGGTGCATTCTCACTTTAGTTACTTAGCTGGACCATGGATGCAACTATTGGTCAATGTGTTTGTTGTTTCAAAGATATGAAACAACAAGTGAAATAACCAATTTATGAAACCACGTTAAAAATATATTTCGAAATTCCAGTATGCTTTCAACTTCATATTTTGACAGAAGCTAAACTCATATCAGTCATCTTATTTTATTCATGGTACCTGATTTATTTTTGTATGTAACCTAAGTTTTGTTCCTTATTTATTTACAATAGTCCGGAAATTCATGACTTTGATAAATTTCTTCAATCTTCAAATATAGAAAGGTTTTAATAATTGATCCAAATGGCTGGTGGCTAGACTTATGGAGGGGAGTGTACATTTGTTATATATACTGTGTGCAATACATGAAATGCTGAAAAAGCTGTCATAACAGATGTCGCCCTTATCATTATTCACTTTGCTTAGACCAGATTGCTACAGCCGTCCATGTTATACACTTGCAATAGTCACTTAATTTAATGATTTATTAAAATGTGTTGGTTGAATCTGTCTGAAACTCAAATTGCATACTGTGGGATGACCCTGCCAATGTACCTATTGTGATTATTAAATATTTTGTTGTCAAACGAATAAACCAATCTTAGCGGCATTGCACCAGATTTGGCCCAAGTTTTTTTAAAAAGGTCATGGAAAATGATATAAATGACATAACTGTGAAAATCATTATTGGAAAACTTTTCACATATAAATTCAAATATGCTAGAAAAGTTAGTTTTTAAAGGCTAAAAGTGCAAATCTCTTAAAATCTCATGAAAAACAAGAATAAGCGAGATTTCAAGGAATATGGAAACTCCTCCATTCAACCACTACAATTTATCATTCATACCAGCTCCCGTATTTGGTTCAGGGTCATTCCAATAGACACCGTGGTCGTCGTGTTGACATTCTTTACTGGCCTGACATTTGGATCGTAACTGTTTTCATCGAATAGAGCCCTCGTCAGAGCTACCTGGTTTGACGCTGCCACTAAAAGCAAACCATAGGATACAATTTTTAGAATCAGCTTATATGTTCAAGCCAAATTTCAAAAGAAGGAAATCGATTCATGATTGTCAATTATAGCAATGTAATGATATAATACATTTATATCGCCTTACCTTTGATGAAGAAACATATTACAGCTAATGTATATATCCAGTTCCTTTTGCTGTATTCCATTACTGTTATCCACGGAACGATTCAAAAGATTTAATACAAGCCTTGATTTTGTTCCCGCGTGTATGTAAATAACATATATACACACAACATGAAATGAAATGCCTTTGTGCACGACTTTATCCTTCATGAGGTAAAGGCCTGGTTATAGAAACTGAACTATACTCTGGCAAAATTGACCTAACGGATCCTGGTTTTATTTGTTTATTAGGAATCAGTAGATTTCTGATCCAATTTAATCTAAGTAAAAACCTGTTATTCTTTTCAAAATATGGTACAATAAACTTTGGAACCGTACAATTCATGGTTAGTCGGTGCAGGAAAAATTTGAGACCTCTGGTTAAGCAGTACAAAAGTACTTCCCAACGTTGGTGAAGTTAGCCCATCAGTCTCAATCTATGACGTACGTAAAACCCAAACAACATCAAATAATGTTAACCTTAATACCAACACGACAATTCAAACACACTCGTACCAATATTTATGATATATTTTATGGCCTAAAACATAAACATTGTTGAAATACACTTGAGGTTCGGTGGACGACGAGGGAATCAATTGGCGAGAAAAGGAAAGGGAAATTAATAAAGTTATGACTGGCTATAATAAAGAATGCATTAAGCTGAGTGCATTTCCAAAAGTTGTATAAAATGCGATGATGCAAAATGTATACAATAAATGTAAAGACTATCTCCAGAGGAACGGGGAATTACAGTTTTTAAGCAACAGATAAAACGTTATTTTCAAAGACTACTTTCAAAGATTTTCAAGACTATATAAGATTTCAAAATTGAGATAATTGTTGACGATGGATTCTGAAGAAAGTATTCTAAGACCAGACACTAATGAGTACGATTATGAAGACACTAACAATGTGGAGGATGATTTTGAGGGAGGGCGAGATGATTTGGGCAGAGCAAGGAATCATTTGGATGAGGTAGAAGATGATATCGAGAAAGTTGAAGACAGTAAGGGGCAAACTACAGATCAGCATTGTCCACCGCTAACAAGACGTTCTTCCGACATTAGGGAACCGAGACGACGGTCCACCGATAAGAAGAAACCAAAACGAATCTCCTCTGATTTAAAGGAAGAAAGACGATTCTCTTTTAGCCAAGAATATGGAAAACCAGTTCTAAGCACCACAGATACTAAAGTAGGTACGAAGGTAGAGATTTCGTGTCCCCACCGGCGCAAACTTCTCGGCCCTAGTACCATAGAGTGCATACACGACGGAGATCACGTGAGATGGGATGCCCCGATACCGAGATGTAGACGTAAGTAAATGACAATTTGAAATCATATTGATTATTTATCGCCAAAAAAGTGTTAATACTTATTTTGAACCAGATGCTTTCATTAAAATATTCACAAGTTTATTTTCATTTTTATTGTACAAATTCATATTGATAGCTGCCGAATTAATAGCACTATGAACTTAGGTTTATAGCCATTCACTTGGGATGTATAAATATTAATTTTTTAATCAATTACTTTACTTACAGTTCAGACAATGGAGAGGGAATGGGAATCAACGAGTCCAGCAGCCCCACGTGGAGGAAAGGTCGGGGGTTTATCCAGTACCATAACACTCGTTATCCCTTTGTCTCTCGCCGCTGTAGCCCTAGTGGCCCTTGTGACAGTTATTGGCATATTTATGTGGATTAGTAAAAGGTAATAATTTGAGTTTTATTCAAGATGATGTGTGATGAAGGCGACATGTTGTTTGTCAATACAATTTATAGTTTCTTTCATATCTCATCGATTTTTTAGAATTCGACTGAAAGTATTCGTGGTTTTGAAATCGTCATTGTTAATCGAGTTCCACGGCTACTATATGCATGTATTACTCCAAAGAGATACTGGGAGAGACACATCGATGAGTCTTGTTTTTGTATCATGCCATCATATCAACCAATAGTCATTAAAATGGAATGTTATTTTCAGAAAAATCACCAAAGACAGACAACAACGACAAGCAGAGTTCAATGAACAAGGAATGAATGAACAAAATCAAGATACGCTAAAAGAGATAATCACGAAACATGAAAAGCGGGCAATTCAAAACACATATCAACCGGGTCTTCCACTAAAACTATGCTCCTGTCGTGGCTCTAAAAATCAGACTGCTGGTAGATCAAATCCTGCATTCTACCCACATAGTAAACCCCAGAGATTTAGTGGACTACATATAAATAGTGACACTCTGGATCATGGCACTGATCCAATGAGTGGATTTATAAATGATCATCGGCAGTTGCCCATAAGTGTGATATCACATGAAAAAATTGGGAAAGTCTATGGTTCAAACAAGCGATAGAGGCTCTTGGATGATAATCCTTGTAGCAACCAGCCTTAATTGTGTTTGTACGTAGACAGTAACGTCGATCTCAAATGAATACCTCAGTTTAGGCTCGGGCTGGACCCGAAGGTGATTTTGCATTAGTCTCCAATGTAATAGTCTCTTCTTTCAATCCATTACAAGGAATTATTTAAACATCATGGGGGAATATTGATATGGTATACATCACAATTACTATTATAAATGTATTATTTATTACTTACATTTCATACATAAAGTTAAAATAAAAATATACTTTCATACTGAAAATTCCATTCATATTGATCAAGTCGATCTAATTTTGCATACCATTTTTTCTCTTAATAACCTGAAAACGCTCTGGGCATCTAAATGAATCGCCCAGATTATTTTAACGCCATTTTATTTGCAAAATGCCTTCTTCTATTGCAAGTTGGATTTGGACGCTTGTTTCAACAATAACTATTTTTGTTAACACCAAACAGATGGTGATGAACAAAAAGAATTTGAAAATAAAAAGTGGAATTTAAATGCACAATAAATGATTGCCATACAGAGGTAGACCTCTTCACTCCAAGCTTAATAACCTGAATTCGGGCTGAATTCAAATGAAGGAGGTATTAAATTCATAACGAATTGGTGAATAATGGCAAGTTGAATGGGATTATTCCTGTAATATTGAGCGCCTACGAGATTATTAAACTATGTCTATTGACAGCCAAATACGAAAGCACCCAAACCTTTGAGAGAGTACAAAGAAAAAATCAATCAAACAACTTAAACCTATTCTTTCATTACTTTATTGTTGTTAAGGATAGGCTCACGTGACGTTAATATAAACAACATGGCTGTCTCTAGTTTGGGGTGAAAATCTTATGACACCTCGTTATCAGGAAATTCTCACTTATTAAGGAATATTGTTATTTCCATAATGATACTTGTAGAAAGAAAGGAATAAGATGCCGGCCAGCACTGCTGTTCCAATATTTGAAGTTCTCCGAAGGTAAGAAACTCGAGACGAAATATATGTCTAGTCCAAATGATTCAGTGAAACCTTGACCTAAAAAAGGTTTTGGCGATACCTACTATTCATTTTGGATGTCTAATAAATTCAATATCAGAAAAAATGGTATATTTAGGAAATACACGATCATTGGGGGCAAACAGCGCAATGGTTTTTTCAGGGAAATTCAACCTAATGACTGTCACACATATCATAACATCGATGTTCATGCCACAACTCTTTTATAACAACCAGGAAAATAAACTTATAATTTCTTGTGAATTCTGTTTCTCTAGCTCCCACAGTATCTAAAATGGCAGCTTTTGGAAGAAGGTATAACGTTTATCCATTTTAGTTGTAATGGCACCTCACGTAGCATTGTGTACATTCCATGTAGATCTTAGCATCATCCTGTACAAAAGTCTCACTTTACATATATTTTATTGTCATCTCGCACATAGCAAAGTGTCAAACAAGTAGCAAAGTGTCATCTTGTACGTAGTATGGTGGCATCTTATTTTGTACATAGTATAGTGTCATCTTGAATGTAGTATAGTGTCATCTTCCACGTAGTATAGTGTCATCTTCCACGTAGTATAGTGTCATTTTCAACGTAGCATAGTGTCATTTTCCACGTAGCATAGTATCCTCTTGCAGGTATCATAATGTCATCTTGTGCGTATTGTAGTTTCTTCATAGATAGTGTCCCTTGTACATATAATAACATAGTGTCATTTTGCACGTAGCATAATGGCATCTTACGCGTAATACAGTGTACATTGCATAGTTTCATCTTGTACGTATCAAAGGATCACCTTACGCGTAATAGAGTGCCATCTTGTTCGTATAATAGTGTCATATTGAACGTAGCATAGTGTCATCTTGAACGTTGTATATATATATACTTGGCGTTGGATAATAAAGAATTTCATCTCGCAATTATGAATGTATTGAATGAAATAACCTACATCTTAGTTTAATCACAAGAAAGTAGAGGCTGAGGCATCTCGTTTGATGTCAATTTTAATTGTACATCATTGTTTCTATTCAGTAAGCCGAAGGGTCTACCGGAGGTCGGTCAACAATTCAATACTGTACACCAGGAGACGCACGATGTCAGTGAAACCCCCTACAGATTGCCAAAAATGCAAAGTAAAACACGAAAGCCTAAACAACAGATGCATAGTCTCTGGAGCAAACATGAATTTAACAGGTACGAATTCGGACTTACCTGTGCCCATTAACTTGACAGGTACGACCATAGACCTTCTTTGAGTTTATGAGGATCGACCTTCCATTAATGGTACATATGAGGAAGTACAATGAATGTTCTCTCTCAGGAATTGTAAATTGTATCGATCTCTTCTTCGACAACAGTGAACCCTCTATTGTGTTTTAGAATGCAAATGTATTAAACAAATACGAGAAAACCCTTGTGTTACAATATGTGTCCATCCACGTTTGGCACAATTTATCATCACCAGTACGTTTTTTTCAGACAAACGCACGGCGACTTTCAGATCAGGCCGTCTCATTTGATGATGCCTCCACGGACAGTGGCCAAGTACTATCAGCTTGGAGTGTACAATCCTGTGATGCATATAGCTGGCATAGTTCCCGTCGACAAAGACGAGTCAACTCTAGTCGCGCATGATGACGATCAAGCTTTTTACAAAAAGTGAGAAACTTCAGAGAGAATTGTATTGTAGTTGAACAATTATTCATTTGAGACAACAATAATACACACGACCTTGTGAATAAACCCCCCCCCCCCACTACAGACGACCTTACTAAAACGCTCCTTACATACTACCTTGTAAATAAACTTTAGTTTCACACTACTTTGTCGATAACCCACATTTCACGAAATATACAAATAATTGGAAACTCGTTGGCTTGTTTTATTGACACTTCGAATGTACAACGTTTTTTGTGTTCAATTTGGTTATCCATTTATCATTAATTTTAGACAAAAAGCACCTTATGGACCATATGAGTATGCAGTTAATACAGAAGCTAGGCGTGATGAGATATACGGGGGACCGTCCCCCAGTCCTATTCTCAGGGAGAGGAGTCCACGAAATAGCATCCATTGGGGCCTGGGGCTCGGCATTAAACAGGAGTTTGATATTCAGGTTCGACACTAGCTAAGTATTTTTTCTGTATTTCAAATCAAACATGACAACTGCGACAGTTAAAATTTGAGTTCGAATATAAATAGCAGGGCGTTCTAGTTACCTCTATTTCGCAGACTATAATCTTAAAGTTGAAAATCATTGACTTAAACCTCACTACATGTATAAACCCCCGGTATAAACCAAATTCTCATTTTTATCAATATTTTACTGTACAATTCCCCTTACCATACAAGAACAAGGGAGTGATATTTATTGTTATTTGAATTGCAGGGTGCTTCAGGGAGACAAGGTCCATTTTCTCGAGAGTTCCAGACAAAATGCCCGACACCTGCGAACTGGCTACGTATGAAATACAACAACAGATCTAAAACGATATGGTGGTGACATCTTTAGTTTGAAAATGAACACTTAAATAAAGGTCATGGGGATTCTCGAGGAGACCCATGCTACGGTTCGGACCATAGCTCATAGAAGGAATGAAATGACTGCAATATGATAGGAGAACATTTTCCCTTCAGGAGGCAGTCGCAGTGAGTGGGAGAATTGCAATGGTGTAAATTACGTTGAATGTTGATGAAGCAATTAGACTGAAAAACTCAACCTGAAAGGTCTAAATGACAGAGGTGCATAAATTTCATTTTGCGATAATAAAATTAATTGGGATAAATAAATAAATGTAATTAAATTCCACCGACTGCCAAACTATCACGTGCCAAAAATCTGACATTGATCTTGAATCCAGAATATGTCTATAACATATAGGAATTTAAAAACTCATTCAATTTATAGATGGCGTATATGTCTATTATGCCATTTTTACTTGAAAAGCTATGAAAATTGTGATAAGACCACTAATGTACCATTGTTTCTGGTCCATGGGGTTTTTAATTTCAGGGCATCATGATATCAAAAATGATAATATTTGTCGTTTACTATTACTTCTTCAGAAATAACTCTATTTTATGATAACTGACAGGATAGACTATTGTCTATTGATTGTATGGATTCACTCATACACTAGAAATAAAACTTTCGTTTTGCCTATTTTGACAAGCAGTTTGGTCAGACCTTTTTTATAATTTTCACCAACTAGGTGAATATCAAATATCAATGGCCAAAAGGTCCATTCCCATCCCAGTGAACTAAATATAAACTAAAACTTCATGGCACCACTTCAATCTGGGAAATAAAGTTTTTCTTGCCATATTTCTCATAATGTATGTCAGATGAAATCAGATATGTCCTATGGTTTATAGGGCTTAGGTCATGCTCTACCCAAACACATTGTAAAGAAAAACATCACATAATGGCTTAGTAAATACTTGTGTTATTATTCCATGTACATGTATATATGTTGTATATTTACATCTAATGTACAAAACTGGTGACATAGAACATGTATATCATGTGAGTTGAGCACCTTTTCATGAACCCCATTCTGGACAAACCTTCAATCATTGAATATTTTTTTCTTGGATGTCTGGAAATGATTCAGCTATTATCTCAACATTGATTGTATTCCATGCCAGTTCCTTAAAGACCTGGCCACAATGGGGTTCATAGAAGGCTAAAGATTAAATATAAATGTTTGAGGTATAACATGCACTACAAGGGGACACCATTTTATATGCAGTTCTTAAAGTTTGATCCGATTTGCTCAAGTATGACATCACCAAAGGTGTTTTTGTTTGAAACGCCAAATTCCAAGATCCTGCATTTAACACTAAATTTTCAAAATAACAGGTCTTATCATAGGATATGTACTATTGCATAAAGTTGGTATCCCCTTGATACAAAATAGGACAAGCATTATAATAGTATAAAATTCATTACCATTCAATGTTTTTGCACATATACATATTACAGCTAATTTGTATGTTTTATTATTTATCAATATTTATATGAAATAAAGTGACATGATTATCTAACTAAACTCAGTTTATTCTACTTTCCCATTGCACTTTCCCATTTACCCCCACATAAAATACATCATGAAGGTCACAATTTACTCATATGTCATTTAAGAGGGATTCACAAGGAACAAACGAGGTGAGCAACTATATATGAATATAAAAGGCATTAACATGCAAAATGTCACCACCATTTGTTACAGATGCCAACCACCAACCATTGATCACCAACAGCCGTCACAAAAAATGGAGACCATAACAAATGCCACCACTTTTTGGTGGTGATATAATAAGCAATACTCAATCAAATGGAAACTACATATTCTAATCCAATAATTTAGATGCAGAGAGATCTAAGAGACATCATGAAATATTCTAAGTGGGTTGTTTCAAAAAATGTCTGTTTCGTTGTTCCTTTGTAGAGTTTTGTTATTGAAAAGAAAATCACCCAGAAATATTTGCTCTCTATCTTGAGATATCATCACATGTTCTTTCAGTGCGAAAAACAATATTTCATTTTTTAGCTTCCAAATAACAAGTAGTCTTTAACCCTTTCACGACGATAGGCTCCATATGGAGCCCTATTATGTAATACCTTTCAAGACGATAGGCTCCTTTTGGCACCATTATTTTTATTTATATACTTCAATGAAATGACAATATCTCCAGTTCTATTCAGTATTTTTACACCAAATTTTGACAAGTTGTTCTTATGTGATAATCCTTACTAAAAATTATATATCAGTGATGAAATCCAAGGTATAGGTCCCAGGGCATAGGTATTTTGCAGTTTTCCCCTGAAAAACACTCTTACTTATCCGTCACTGGGGACAACATTTTCCTCTTATATTCACGTCGGGAAAGGGTTAAAGTATTTCTAATCCTTGTTCAAGTAAACTTTACATCAAAGTTCACAAGATACTCATAATGCGCAAGATACTCAAGATGTCCTAGAATTTTACAATTACACTAAATGATGTGGTTGACAGGAGTCACACTTATATCATGGTTATGATTTTTCATACTGCTTTTGAAAGGGACACACAATTTCACATACTAGTTCAAGTAAATACAGAACAATCTGCAAAATTAGTGCCTTTTTAGAACCAAATTTGTACCAAATTATATGACTGTTATCAAATTCAGAACCACTTTCGTAGCAATATTGAAAGTTTGAATAATGGATATTCTCCAGAGATAACCACTGAGATATTAGTACCAAATTAGTACCAATTATGGCACTAGTATCTTGGGAGAGGGATAAGCCACTGTGACCCACTGGCAGTTATATGTGAGTAGAAAAATAAATGATCTATATACATAACATAACTTTGTACATATAACAGTATAACAAAAAATATTTTATACCTATGACACAACAATTTGGATGGTAGGGTATTGAATAAAAGCTTAGACAAATCGTTGAAAAATCATATTTTCAACTAAAGCCCCTCATATTCAAGTTTGGAACTTATTTAATTGGTCTATCGGCAGCAAACTCAGTGTACAAATGATAAAGAATTCATATCTAAATATATAACACATAAACAGTTCTGAATATACTTTAGTTCTCAATTTCCAACTTTACATTCCATTGTACTTGTTGATCCTAAATAAGAAATTGAAATTGATGGACACAAACATGTACTTAAAAATATAGAAAAATTGGGTTTGTTTTCAGCCTTGAATAATACATATTTCCAAAATAAGGCCTCCACTAAGAAAATGTACATACATTTATCAATTAAATGAACATGCACATCCCATTAAGAATGCAATTAAATGCTATTCAAAAGCCAAAATATCCAAAACGCTACATGTATATAATGTATAATATATATCACTATAAAAGACCGAAATATAATATAAATATTGATTCCAAAAAGTGCTCGAAAGTAAAGAAGGCCATTCTCATAGACGGGGAGACATGTTCTACTGTTTAATGATTAGAGTGTCCATCCCAGGCTTATGAGGGTTAAGCCTTCTTAATGCTGCCTTATTTTGGAGAAAGGGTTAATGTTTCACCAGTGCCAATGTACCTGATACAAAAGGTAGATTTAACATGAAAAACAATACACAAGAGACCCACCCACAAATGTGGAGAAGTGAAATCTGTCCAACAGATGACATTTTCTTATTGGAAATATACACAGGACTATATTAGTATCACTTAATAAAATGAACAAGATACTCTGCACTCACTCATCGTGATATTGATATCCACTTGTGGATAACAAAGATATCTCTCAAAATCATAGGATATCCTACACATAATCACTTTGCCATGTACTAATATATATGTATATGTACCAATACTATTCCACAATAAATACAGCAAATAATTCATTTTTAAATGAAATAATTACTATTGTTGCATTTTATGAATTCTCATTGAAATTTATACTAAAAAGTGATGTTTGAAGAACTAATGAGAGAGTTATTGACAAGAAGCGACGCAATAACCAAACTCTGGTGGTTGCATTAATCACATTGATGTTCGTATGGAATGTTAACAATAAGTGACAGTCAGCAACTGCTTTTAAATATCCTGCGCTGTATATATAGTATAGGTCTTCAAAAAAACTATTCACAAATAGATGGCAGTGAAGTTCTTAACAACCATAAATTATCTAAATAACATTCTTGTGATACAAACGGCTTTATTTTATATAACATTCAAAAACATCAAACTTTGTTGATCTTAAGATTCCCACTCTGTCCGTGCATATGAAGGCTGACATGATTAAAGTGCATGCTCTGAATATAACATTATTTGACATAAACTATTTAATGGTTTTAAATGATAGCATGACCAAAATACAAAGTTTCAAAGTCCTAGATAGAAAAAACATGTATAGTACAAATAGAAAATGGTTATTTAAAGCTATCAAAAACAGATCTAAATATCACAGTTAACAAACTCTCATAAAGTCTCGCACCCACCATTCCCTTTCTATAGGTGGATCATTAGACCTTAGCGAGAACATTTCACATTCATACTCAATATTTTGTTTCAAATTTGATCAAATTTCTTCCCCGAAAGTACAAGAACTAAACAATAATTTTACTTAACTTATGCAAAAAGGTTAGATCCCTATGATCTTATAGTTTGCCCTTTATGCTATATCATCTAACTTTTGTCATTAACATTTCAATCTAGTACTATCAAGATTAGAAAACACATGATATAGTTGATACTTTTTACAGATATGGCATATGAGATTCCAAGTGAGTGACAGAAACGTGAATATTTTAACAATATAATGTGGCATCCTCAAACTTTTCCTGATAAGATGATACTTGATGAAGGGTGCAGACAAAATACATTCTGTTCCGTTTATTATCAGATATTACAACCAATGTCATGGTTCAGCTGATTCTAAAGCAAAAGTCAATTGTGACAATGATTTTGAGAAGAAATAATTGATGAACATCACCATGTCTACCTACAAGCACCTTTGTAAAACTTGCACAGATCTGTCAACAGTCATCGAAGTCAAACACACCAGATATTACAGATTTCACAATGACAATAGTGACATATTTTGCACAATTTTGGGGACCATTTCAAAGCACATCAATGGTTTTGTAATCATGTATTTGAAATGATCCCTTTCTTGATCTTGATCATCTCTAATACATGAACTATACATGTATACACCTGAATTTCACATATATGTGGAGATCTATGTGAATCCTCATGACACGACACATATATGACACACCCCATGTGTAGTTTTGACAACTACTCCATAGAAAGTTCTTCACTTTTTCATGGAATTCACATCCATGATTAAATCGTAGCATCCCATCAGATCATTGATTTTCTCATAGATTTTGTTGATGCCATTTTTTGTTCATATGCCTCATTGATACAAGGAAAAATGTTTCTGTGGAACTTTACTGGCCATATATCTAGTTTTAGTTTTCATCAGAAATCATGACCATATTTCGAGTTTTTTTGTATTAATTGACGTATTATATCTAGTTTTGAATGGTCTTATATACTGCAATGTTTTTGATAAACTCAATCTTATTTAGAAGAGTATCATTATGCTTTGCATACATATTTGTTTTCAATTTGGATTTACTTTGATCCCTTGCTCTTGTCTGGTGCAGTTGCTTGGCAATTGATCGATTGGTCACACCCGGCCATGAGCCACCCCAAACCAATTTGTTACCCTATATTTTGCGTGTATCACGTCAATGAAGGGGTAACTGCTGTATTAGGGTGACGTTTCATATGTAAAGCTAGATGATCAGATCTAGAGAAACAACGTTCACAGTATCTGCATTGGAATGGTTTGGAACCTGTGTGTTTTCTATAATGTCTTGTTAACTCATCTGATCTCGCAAACCGCCACTCACAGCCTTCCCAGTTGCACTTATAAGGCTTTTCACCTGCAAATACAAAAATTACATAGATATAATAATCCATCTGTAACGTCAATCTACACCGATCAATACTGCTCCCATTGTCTCTCCATAAGGAGATGCTATGAGAGACATGTGAGCAATTAAAGTGCTCCTTATAGCATTACAATTATCAAAATTGCATATAGCTGATCTGACTGAAACATGTACTAGAAAGTTCTGTATTACTTCATATGTAGGTGGGTTTCAGTTGAAAACCTGGTTTGAGCATAAGTATGCTGAGAGGCAAAAAGCAGAGTACACGAAGATGCAATCAAGAGAGTTATAGGAAGATGGAACAGATTATCAAAAACCAATTTCAAATCAGTTGCTTTGTTTACATTTATTTATGTCTCATAAAAATGCCAAGTACACAGTAGCACACTATACCACGCATCTCAATATGCTATTTCCCCCTCAAAAATAATTCAAAACAAGTATTTGTATAAATTGTATCTGATGTGTCTAGTTCACTTGGATTCTAAAATTCTGAGCCTAAAGCCATGCCTATTTGATTTTCCTTGTTAATTCCTCTCTTTTGCATTCATTTCATATATATAGTAGCCCGGACAGAATTGTTCAATGGTCACTTTTTCTTTAATAACTTTTTTAATTTTAAGTATTATCAAAATCTGATTACATATTTGAAAACTAGAGTATAATTCTGACATACGAAAAAAATATTTAAGGAACATCTCTTAATTTATTGATATTATAGGCGTTCATAGTATGAGTGACACAAATGCATAATTCACCATTTTGTCTCATATTTGTTCAAAAACGGCGGCATGTTTTGTGGTTTGAATGTTCAGTTGAAATTAAAGTTAATACTTAAGAAATGTCATAGGCCTACAAAATCATGTAGACTGCTGCCTTGGTATGAGGTAATGACTGCATTTATAACATTTTGTTTTAAATCGACTTGTATGTATACCAGCACTTAAAAAGGTTTGTACATTGTATGTACAGTATATTGGTATGGTCGCAGCACTTAAAGTTTTTTTGGCCATTTTATTGTTACTCGTAGTGGATTAGCTACCCTAGTTCATTGAACCTGTGCAACTATAGGGGTCATAGTGCCACAGTTTGTAATGCCTTTCCCAGTCACACGTCTTTTAACCCATCCTTGGCATGCATGTGAATTGTTCTTCAGCTTTTCAATGGCCTCTGAGATGGCTGTTTGGAGCTCTTGAAAAGATTAAGGACCTACTCTCATCACATCCCGCACATCGGGGCGCCACCTTTTCACATCCTCTTGAACGCAACCCCAAACATTTCAATAGAGTTGATTTCATATACCCTTGGAGGGATTTGACTTCTTGTATTTGATGACTGGTCAGTTGCTGCATTACATCAGGATTGTAACGGTGGCAGCATGGCCCTATAGTTCTCTGACGATCTTTAAATATTTACTTTCAACTGAACATTCAAATTCACAAAATATGCCGCCATTTTGAACAAATATGAGGCAAAATGATGAATCGTGTATTTGCGTCAGTTATACTATGAACGCCTATAATGTCAATAAATTAAGTGATGTTCCATAATTATTTTTTTTGTATGTCAGAATTTTACTCTAGTTTTCAAATATGTGATTAAACTATGATAATACTGAAAATTGAAAAAGTTATTAAAGAAAAAGTGACCATTGAACAATTCTGTCCGGGCTACTATATAGTTAAAACAAGACATGGCAGTATACATTCACTGCCAGGAGAACATAAAATAATAATGTATGAGTCTAGATGCCAACCCAGTTACCACACCTGACATTTAAAATCTTTTTCTCTGCATCTTCATGTTTTTCTATATTTCCATTCATTTGCTTTCATTTACTTCACATATTTGTATCGCAAAACATCTTTGAAACTATGCATGTTAGAATAAATTCATGTTCATATAAAAGCTACACTTTTACAGTCAATGCACAATTTGCGGTCACCCACTTTCAAGTTGGGGTCGGAGGTTAAATCTATAAACCACATTTGATAAAATAAATCAACTTATGTTTGATCCGACTACTTATGTTGGATGTATTTTGAGGGTACTTATATTTAAAAACCTGTGCAAAATATAAAATGTTTCTACCCTTTATACCATTTAAAAATTACAGAAATTAAGAAAAATTTACCACAATCAGCACATAGATGTACTGTAAATAGCATACGTAGAACTGCAATAAGAGGCAAATCTCTTAGAATACATAATAGGGAACATCACTGATTTATAAACATAGTCATTTTCTTAAACCTTAACAGCAAAACATACACTCCCCTCCATAACTTTGGCAACCTTAGCTCCCCCATTGAACTACATGTTAAAGCCTCTTTACCTTTGAATTTTTATTTACTTAACCTGCGATGAAAATACTTATATTATTGATGGAAACGTATTTTGACTTTATTTCCAATACCTCCAAATTTTCTCAATTTTTTTCCTCAATTACAATAAGTCGAAAATGGATGATAACTTTGATGAATTTTTGAAAATCTTATACCAAAACATTCACATGGTATGTATTTTTTTCAACCATGTTTTGAAATATAATACAGAAAAAAGTAAAGCCCACCATCTAGCTACAAGTTCCATGACACTGGTCAAGATCAAAAATAATACAAAATTAGTTTATTATGTGATATCAGTTTCCATCAACTATTTATGGTATTTCACATTCTTAAACTAAAAAGGTTGGATAAAAACTGGGTTACAAACACATAAGCCCTCCTCCACCTACCCTGAATAATGAACATAAATCATCTCCATACAACATAAGAAACAGAAAAACATATAGAAAACAAAGAACTATTGAATATGATAAATTCTAAGAGAATTAGTGCAATTATGAAGCAAGACAATAAAAAATGTGATTCTGAGGTAGGGGTACTACAATCAAGATAAGGTTTCCTCTTGAGTACCTCTAGTATTTCTCTTGATGGAGTGCACTTGACCCCTAATTGGAAGAAACCTCAGAGAAAACAAGCTAAACATTTCTCAATGTCCACACATATTTTGCTTTTTTTTCTCAGAGAAGTGTCTGATTTTTGTTTATTTAATAACATAAATTAGAATTTCTACTTCAAGCATGTTTGACCTTGCAGATGCATCTCAATTTACTTAGAGTTTGCAAGAAAATAAGATTTTGTGAGGATGGGGTGGTTAGGAAGCTGCCAACAGCTCATGGCCGGGAACACCCTTGCCCTGGTTGCTTTCTTTCAATACCAATTATAGATGCTGTTTATCTCATGGAATAAAATACAGCTATAAATTATTTTTGCTCATTTTCGAATTTGTAACCTTAATTCTTTAAATCATCAAAGCTAAGATTAAAAAACTTTTTGAAGGGGGCAAAGATAAACATTATAAAAGATTGAGCCCATTACACATCAGTTGACCCTATCCTAAGAGATTATCTCAAGCCTATTCAGATTTCACTGTAATGTGCCTGTATGTACCCCCTACCTCCCCCAACTGATTGACCAATATCTTATTTTTTATGACTGGCTTATTCCACTAGTTGTTCACCCTCGGCTATAAGACATACAAAAACCTGTATCCTGAAAATCATTCATATTAATTTTGATTGTATATGATCCTTGCTTATGCTGACATATACAATTATAATGTGCCATGGTAACAAGTCATATAAGGCTGATGGGTTTCAGGTGTTCAGTTATAATAAATCATCTGTAACTCAAGCATTAATCTAACCAGTCATAGTTATCCTTGGTAAGTAAATAAAAAAGTGGAATAATCAAGAAACACACTGAATAGGAATGCATGGTTCATTTTTATTTCAAAAAACAACACCAACATTTTGAGTTTAATTGAGATTTTATAGATATATACAGTGATTTAGGAAAATTTATGTGATGTTTTGAATGGGAGGCATTCTGCACTGAAACTGATCTCAACCACACCCAGTTATGAAAGCCCAGAATTTTTTTCACCATTCATGCTCAGCTAATTTCTCTGTGAAATGTCGATAGACTTCATGTTTTATTGAATTTTGATGTCATTTTATTGAATATTGAATATACGCCAAAGGACTTATTCCTTGTTAATTCCTCTCTCTTCGTCTACATCTAGTTGGTGATAGAAAATGAAGTGTCAGGATATTATGTTTCTTGGTTAAGGATATTAGATTGTCATTCTGCAACTGACACCTCCTTTTACAATATCATATATGTCATTTTATCATTCACACCACCTGTGTCTTCAATGTTATATACCCTTTTAAAGCTAGTAACAAAAAGATCTCAAAATAACAAGACACAAGTATGAGAAGATAGAACAGATAGAAAGTACAAAACAAAGTACATGTAGAAGTAGTAAAAAAATCCCTGCACAAATATCTCATGACAGAGGCACTAAATTATCAACAAGGTAAATTAATAGATTTTTCACTGAAAGTAAGAGGGGCACTTACTACTAAGATTGCCTGATGTTGGAGATTATCCCAAAACTTTCAGCTTAATCTTAACATAATGGTCATCCACTTAACAACTAGGTTCCTAATACTAGTACCCAAGAATCGGGTATTTTTACAGAAAATATCCATACTCATATACTTTAAACCAGAGTATTCCTTCAGTCATGATACCTTGACGGATCAAAATGCATCCTTTTCAAAGGAATTCATTCATGCTTCAATGTGATATTTCAACAGGTGAATATGTACATGTACTTGGCAAAATTGTTTTAATGTATCATTAATAAATATGACCAGGGTGTCTTATGGATATAATGCACTCAGGAAATAACCAACAATGCCACCTGAGCCAAGTGAAGAGTTCACTAGTGCAGTAAGATACTATTCCCATCATAACTAAGACATTATGACATCAAAGAGTCACATGATCTCACAAAGCACTTTGTTTTTATCTTAACATTAAACTGATTGAAGTGAACCCAACGATTATGAAGCTGATTGTAATAATACTTTTTGGCTCATAGGAATTCTAATATGTTCAAGTAACTCTGGAATATCA